AGAAAAAGTGTTAGCTGCTTCTTATGAAAATATTTGCAGATTTAAGTTGAAATCACTTATTAGTAAAAGTAATAGAAGTATATTGATGAATATAAGGTGTGAGCATTATTTCACATTATCTAGCATGAAGAAAAAAAATAGTTCTTTTGGTGACAGAAGCTTCTCAGGGTTTTTTGTTTGTTTTTTGTTTGTTTGTTTTTTCCTCAGAAAAAGCATAGGACTGGAAAAAAGGAGGCCAGAGCAAACTGCCCAGCAGGTGTCTGGCATATAGCAACTTAGTAAGTGTTCACTGAATCAAAATCAGAATTGGGTTCTGAATCTGTCACTTACCACTTTGTGATCTTGGATATTTTGCTTCTCTATCACACAGCTATCTCATCTAATATAACAGAATATTCCTCACAGAATAAAATGTTACAGCATACATAAACATTTGAATTGTTTAGAAGGAGCATATTATCACAACATTTTACTATCTGCTTCACTTAGAAATTGTCTTATTTTGAGATATCAGAACCATGTTGGAACAAGCCTAATACTCAGCTATTTGCTCAAATTTACATGCTTGTGTGGACAAAACATTAACATAATTGATAGGATTCCATCATTTGGCATTATTAGATAGACTAAAAACAAGCTGAATTCTGCAATTTTCTGTTTATTCAATGATCTGAAGCTCCAGCAACAAAGAGTTTCCACAGTCCCATTCAGCCTTCCTTGTACTTGAGCAGAATATTAGAAGTAGAATGGGGGGCTAGTGTTTCTGCTAGGATCTAACCCTGGAGAGCATTCTCTGTATCCCATACCCACAAAACTGAGTCTCCCTTCTTTATTCAGTGCTCCCTCCTAGTTTGTCTTGGTTTTCTAAGTATTTTCCAGATCCCATCCACTGCTGCAATCAATACTTACCCTGAGCCCCGGTTTTCTTGATTGGGGTCCTGATGTCCTGCCTAGTTCTTACTGGTATCCTCCTAGCAAAATTCAGACTCAATACTCTCTACTCATCTTCCCCTATTCTATATCCAGTCATGCACAGGCGTTGGCTGGAGACTTGATTCAGCCTGAACTAACCTGAGAACTATCTCATTACCACCTGACTATTAACTGATCCAATAATTACCCCAAACTCACTTTCAGCTATTGGCCCTGAGTCTACCTCACTGATAAAATTGAAGCAATTAGAGGAGCACTTCCAGATCTCTACCTGCATCTATACCTATATGTTGTGCCTTCTTGCCTGTTACTAGAGATGAACTCTCTCTACTTCCATCTAAAACCAATCCATCCACATGAATAATGGATTCTATCTCTTCTTTACTACTCAAGGACATCTTTCTAGCAATTCTCTTCTGTCTGTAACACATCAAGAAACGTTCTCTGCTATTAACATATAAATGCACAGTAATGTCTCCCATACTTAAAAGTTCCTTTCTCTATTGTTGCCAGGTAACACTATATTGCTTTACTTTCCTAGAGCAAAATTCCTTGAAAGTATTGTCTACACTGTCTCAATTGCCCTCCTCCCATTCTTCCTTAAACTATTAAATGTGTCTTTTATGCTGAACTTCACCCAAACTATTCTTACCTGGGTCACCTATAACACATTGCCAATTATTTCTCAATCCTCATCCACCTTTGCCTATGGACAGTATTTGATAGGGGAGAGCCCTTCTTGATACACCTGGCAACTCTACTCTTCTAGTGTAAGAATCATCCTTCACCTGGGATGAGAAAAATCCAGGAAATCCCTTGGCTCTGCCCTCAAAATATATCCAAAATCTGAGAACATCCACCACCATGCATTGCCAGCCCAACTAGAGCCATCATCATCTACCTTTTGATTTATTTTAAAGATTTTATTTATTTATTTGAGAGAGAGCACAAGCAGGGAGAGGGGGAGCAGACTCCCTGCTGAGCAGGGAGCCTGACTCTGCTGATCCCAGGACCCCGAGATCTTGACCTGAGCCAAAGGCAGACGCTTAACCCATTGAGCCACCCAGGCACCCCTCCCTTTTGGATTATTGCAATGATCTTCTAACTGGTCTTCTGGTTTCCATCCTTGCCACATTACAATCTCTTTTCAACATGTCAGCTAAGGCAATCTCTTTAAAATGTAAATCATTTACATTTATATGCCCCTCCTTCAAAATCTTCCAATGGCTTCAATCTCATTCAAAATAAAACCAAAGCTTTAAATCACTTACAGGGACCTACAGGATATGATCACCAGTCCTCTCCCCTGAAACATTCCCCTCATTTGTTCTGCTCCAGGACACAGGTCTTTTTGTTTTCTCAAACATACTGCCAAAAGAACCCTTCTCCCTTTATGGTACTGTGCCCCTCTCATTGCTACTTATGCCAAGTTTTCTGTGGGTGTATCTGCTTGGAGGAACCTAAAGATGTACAGAACCCCAGCTGCAAGGGAGTCCCAAAGTGTAATGTGTAGAAGGCTATTTCTGTAATATAAGAAGGCCATATAGAAGATGGATGAAATGATGCTGAGTAGGGCAATCTAGTTTCTATGTTACAGCAATGAATAACTAGAGTTTATTGGGGAGAAAGGGTAGTGGAAATCATAATTTACTTTGCAACAATGCATGAAAATAAAGAGGCTGCCTTTGGGTATGAAATCAACAAAATAGCATACTTACATTGAAAACAATAACATTAATTATACATGATAATTTGAATAGTATAAGAGATACATCTTATGTAAACTATTCAGGAGGATGCCGGATTTAATAGGTCTTTATAAGTATGTACTCTGTCTCATTGTCACAATTTACAGAAGTGATATATAAAATTTCCATTTCAAAATCTAACAGAATTTTAAGAACCTTCTCTGGTGAAATTTTTAAATAAATGTGCTTACTTCTGGTATAAAATAAAGAGATACATAAAGACTGGCTCAATACCACAGGCATAGCCATAGATAAATTCCAAGAACTTGGTATCTCTGTTTATAAGCCCATTTTGATTCTGTTTTAAATTAAAAGATGTGGTTATTTGAAATAAAGTACAAGAAGAGCATATTAAATGAAAATGGGCAACATACATTAGTCATCTTTTCATGGCAAGTTTTATAGTTCAATAATTCTGAAATCCAACGGTAACATCAAAGTACCGACTTGGTATTACTTTCTGCTATTGCTGCATTTCTTCCACACCACCACGCTAGTCCTTTCAGATCCATTCAATCACTGATGAAACTGCCAACCCAGCTCAAAAAATGCTTTACTATTGGATTATTTCCAGGATTTTTGTGGCACCTTTTTGGAAACAGGTTTGCTACTCTATCCAGTTTCCCCTACACATTCCAGACTATCATCATTCACAATGCTCTACTTCAGATTTATTTCCAATATTCTTTTTCCTGGGACTAGAAAAATAATATAAATAATTTCCTCATTGTTTTCTATGGGATAGGATGGTAGTTCCTTTTGCTGTACTTTCTTACTAAATTACTATTTTATACATTTTATAGTTTCCTAAACATAGTTAATTAAGTGAATACATATTGGTATTGATAATGGGGTAATGAAGATTGCTTTGATGGCTTCACTGAAGATAGTAAGCAAATAAAAACGATAAATTCTTCATCTCAAGATTGGCCTCAGTCTAACAAGTAATGCTCCAACAAGCTTTCTCCCTTTTCACCTGGTGACAGTAGCGACTGTTGGTTGTTAAAGCAGTTGACAAATATTCTGCATTTACTAAATGAGAAGAATATTTTGGAAAATAAGAGATTCAAATAGTAATAATTTTTGTTGTAAGTTATAAATATATAAAACATACCATTGGACTTTAATATCTTAGTGCTAATTAGCAGTACAACATCTAGGAGATGGAGCAACCCCAGCTGAGGCATTAGTCTTTGCCTGAGTGTAGCTTATAATTTATTGTGAGAGACAGACTGTAATCAAATAATAAATAAATACAAATTACTTCAAAGTACTTCAAAGGGCAGAACATGCTTATAACTGGGGGCTTTGACTGAGTAAGACTACTGAGGGAAATTTCAAGTAACACTTGAGCTTGGATACAAAAGACCAGTTAGAATTAATCAGGTACAAAGGGAAGGTAAGAGGGGTTTAGGCAGAAGATACAGCAAACGAAAAACCCTTGGGGTGGGAAGAGCATATCAAGTAGTAGACATTGAGAGAAGGTCAGTGTGAATGTAGAGAAAGGGGGCACATGTGAAGGGGCCTGACTATGCAACAGCTTATTAAAGAGATTGGTTTTTATCCTAAGAAAAACTAGAAAATTATTTGAAGATTTGTATGTAGGTGGGTAACAGCTGCATTAAAAACACAAACACGCTGGCTGTAGCAAGGGGAAATAAACTGCAGGAAGGCATGCAGAAAGGTTCAAACATAAACACTGCTGATAATACCACACTTTATATAGAGAGAAGATGTGGGCGAAATAAGATATTTAACACTTCCTAAAGTAGGTTTCATGACACCAATGCAAAATGTCCATAGGGCCAAGTATTCCATGATCCAATAATTTTGGGAAATGCTGCTTGCTATTGCCCCCTCTTGGAGATCTGCAGCAAATGTAGCTTATTAAAGACATACTGTGAAAGAATACAGCTAGAAAACAAAGCATGTTTAACTTGGTGAAACCCATAATAGCTTGACTGACTCTAACCTTAAAATTTACTACACACAAAACACAGATATGGATATAGACTACCTCCTGTAGATAGAGGCTATCTCCTCAAAAGACACAGAACAGGATTTTAGTAGATGACACTAACTTTTCACATTGCTACTACAGAAAAATATTTTCCCCTTAAGTTTTTAAGAATAATATTGGAGATAAAACAAGAATATAATTTATACCATTAGACTATTGCAACTATACAAACATGAAATAATTTTAGGAGTATTAAAAAAACAGTGAATAATGGAGATAGGTTTACTTCTAAGGAACTGTTGTGTGGAAAAAAGTAATTTAAATATATACATTTTAAAATTATAAAAATTATTACATACCTCTAAAAATATGAAATGTGTTTGAGCAGTAGCAAGCTTCCAAGCTATCCTTGATGATCCGTGATTCTTTTTTTTTCCAGTTCAGAGAGAATTTAATATCCTGAAAATAGAAAGTGTTTACATAGGCATTAGGTTTCACACTTAAGACTTCGTAGCTTTAGAAAGAATTAGAACACAGTATTTCTCCAATCCTAATAATCAGCATCCAAAACAAATAGGAGTTCATGTTTAAAATGTGAATATCTAAACCCACCACAAACAGTAATCAGTAATATTTTTAATTTTTAGATGACTTTTTGTTATGGTATTTTTTTTCTCAAATTTTTATTTAAACTCTAGTTCGTTAACATATAGTGTAATATTGGTTTCAGAATAAAATTTAGTGATTCATCACCTACATATAACACCCAGTGCTCAACACAACAAGTGCCCTCCTGAATACCCATCACCCATTTAGCCCATCCCCCTCCCTCTCCCCTCCATCAACCCTCTGTTTGTTCTCTACAGTTAAGAGTCTGTTTGTTTTCCTTTTTTTCTCCTTTCCCCTATATTCACCTGTTTTGTTTCTTCAATTCCACATATGAGTGAAATCAAGGTATTTGTCTTTCTCTGAATGACTTATTTCCCTTAGCATAATACACTCTAGTTCCATCTACATGGTTACAAATGGCAAGATTTGATTCTTTTTGATGGCTGATAATATTCTGTTGTGTGTGTGTGTGTGTGTGTGTGTATACCCATTCATCAGTTGATGGATACTTGAGCTGTTTCCATAATTTGGCTATTGTTGATAATCACACTTCCTGCTATTTATGCCCTTGTTTAATACTCTCCTATGCTGAATCATGCTACTTTTGACCAAGAGAATGTAGTGGGAGTGAATTTCAAGGTGAGGTAATAAAGAACACTACAACTTCCACTTTGGGTGTTTGGGTTCTTGGATTGCTTACTCTGGGTGAAGTCAGCCACTATGCCATTAGGACGTTCAAGCTACCCATTAGAGAGACCCAGGTGGAAGAAGCTGAGGTCTCTGAGACCAATAGCCACCATCAAATTGCCAGCCAATTGAGTGAGCCACCTTACAGCAGATCCTCCAGCCTAAAGCATGCTTTGAGATGACCACAGCTGCTTGACAGACCCCAAGGGAGAACTGCCTGGTTGAATCCTTTCCAAATCTGTGGCCTACAGAAACCATGAAAGATAATACAAGATTGTGATTTTAAACCACTAAGTTTAGGGGAATTTTTAAAAGCAGCAATAGGTAACTAGCATACAGAGTTCTTTTAGAAAACAAAATTGTTCTGATACTTTGTCAAGAGCTGTATATTATCAATTAAGCATTAATGTATGTGAAAGCATTTTACTTGCCTTCCAAATTAGGTTATACTATTCTCTTCAGGAAGAAAGCTCCAAGGATATCACCTGCTAATCTGCAGGCGGGGATTCGCGGTGGAGAGAATTCAAGATTTCATGATATAGGGGCGACTGGGTGGCTCAGCTGATTAAAGATCTGCCTTCGGCTCTGGGATCACCCAGATGTCATAAGGCTCCTTGCTCAGCGGGGAGTCTGCTTCTCCCTCTCCCTCTGACGACCGCCCCTTTTATTTATTTAAATAAATAAAATCTTAGAAAAAAAAGATTTCATGATATAACATCCCAGATGCTAATGTAGAACCCTTCTTCTTTAGTAGAAGCAAATTGTCACAGAAGTAGGTCTTTAAAAGACCGTCAAATCTTGAATAGGATAAACCTTCTCTGGTGATGAATATGATATAAAGGCTTTGAAAACTGTGTTAGCCACTGCGAATGAAGTGAAATTTTTCACAAGGTGAACAGAATGAATCTCATACTTTGCAAGGTCTTTCCCTTAATAGCATCCACGAAACTCTTTCCATTCCTATTTTCTATATAGCCTACTCAATTAGGGATAATAGGGGCCTGAGAAAGAATATAATTCATTTCCACAATCCCAACTCTTCATTTTATCTCAACCTTGTTCCTCACTGCTTACCTTATGCTTCCAACAGAGAAAAACGCATCCTGGGGTGTTTTTTTTTTTTTCATCCTCTTCCCCACTCCCAACCACTTGAGTAAGTCTTATTTGAGTAAGAGCATTGCTCCAAATCCGAAACACTTGGAGGAAAATGTGACAAGGCACAGCTACAGACAATCTGTAAGTAAAACGAACCTCTGGAGAAGTAAGATTTGACTACTTTTCAGTATATTCACTTTTATTTATTTTAAAATCATCTTGACTAAGAAACTCTGTGAAAATTCTATATTCTTTGGAATTGTTAAGTACAAAGTCTTATGTTTTTATTTATAAAAAAGATATTCAACTTCCTGTTCCCACTCTGACATGTAAAAAGCTTGGAAGTAGTGACTCTGATTCTTACACTAAGAAAAAAGCTGAACAAACTGGAAATCAAGGACTTTTCTTGGATCCATTACAGAGCTAAAGTCACAGCGCAAAAGGCTACAAATCTGGAGAGATAAGGTGAATACAGAGAATCACATAAGAGATCTGTTGGAGTAGAAGCTGCTGGACCCATAAACTGGTAGAAACACTTAAACGGTAATTTTAGTGAATTGCTGGAGGCTGAGCCTGGACTAATTTGAGAGTGAGAACACTTGAGAGGGTGCTGTCTTGGGGGGGCACAACTTTAAATGTTTTGCTCCCAGGAACTCCACCAGGTTCTCACAGTGAAGATCCAAGAAAAGCCCCCTCACAGTTCTAGCAGGGGGAGGAGAAAAGTAACCATTTTGAAATGTGTCCTGAGTTTTTCTCCATGACAAAGGGAAAAGACTTTATAAAATCCTCATCTCCCTTGGGAAAAGTGTAATTATCCAACTCCACTCCCTTCTAGCCTTCCTGTCTCACCTAAGGGGAGGAGGGAAAAAAGGGCGAAGAGATACTTGTGAAGGTCACAGTCCAGGGATACAGGTCTACTGAAAGACTGAGTTTTAATTACAACATTATGGAAACTTTCCCTTGCCCTACACCTTACCGCCACCTCAACAGAGCTCCAGGAATACCAGTGGAAGGAGCTACAAAAAAGCTCCTATTTAAGAGGAGTTATTGGGGAAATAAGAGACAAAAGCAGGTGGGGGAGGAGCAAAAACAATGATACTAGAGGAAGCTGAAGCTCTTGACCCCTACAGCTACAGCAAACATTAAACAAAATCCAGCTCCTAACCACATTAGTGTAAAGCCTCATAGTTAAACCTTATATATCTCGGTTTCTATTACCTATACATCATACTTGACTTTAAATAAAAATTTACAGTGCACGTTGGGGTGGCTGAGTGTCCCAGTTGGTTAAGCCTTCCACTCTTATATTCGGCTCAGGTCCTGGTCTCATGCAAAGTGAGATCAGGCCCCCCCTCAGGCTCCGTGCTCAGTAGGGAGTTTATTTGAAGATTCTCTCCCTCTGACCCTCCACCCATTCATACTGCATGTGCCCCTGCTCTGTCCCTCAAATAAATAAATAAATAAATCTTTTTTTAAAAACAGTTACAATGCCTAAAAGGCAAGGAAAAACTATTTGAAGAGACAAAGCATCAGTACCAGATTCAGGACACAGATTTTGGAATTATCAGATACGGAATTTAAAATCATGATGATTAATATGTTCAGGACTCTACTAAAAAAGTAGACAACAGGCAAGAACAGATAGGTAATGTAAGTAGAGAGATGAAAACTCTAAGAAAGAATCAGAAGGAACCACTACAAATCAGAAATACACTAACAAAAATGCAGAATGCTTTGATAGGCTCATCAGTACATTGGACATGGAAAAGGAAAGAATCTGTGAGCTTGAAAATATGTCAATAGAAACTTCCAAAACTGAAAATCAAAGATAAAATAGAATGAAGAAAAAAACCCCAGAATATCCAAGAACTGTGGAACAATTTCAAAGGTGTAAAATATACTTAGTTGAAATTTCAAAAGGAAAAGACAGGGGCGCCTGGGTGGCTAAGTAGGTAAGCACTTGCCTTGGACTCAGGTCATGATACAGGGGTCCTTGGATTGAGCACGTGCCCAGCTCCCTGCTCAGCCAGAGCCTGCTTCTCCTTCTTCCCCTGCTTGTGCTCTCTCTCCCTCTCTCTCTCTCTGTCAAATAAACAAATAAAATCTTAGAAAAAAAAAAGGACAGAGAGATGGAAAGAAAAAAAGAATATTTAAAGTATTAATAGCTAATAATTTTCCAAAATTAATGATAAATACCAAGCCACAGGTCCAAGAAGCTCCGATAAAGCAAATATAAAATAAGTAATTTAACAAATAAAATAAAATAAACAAACCTAAGTATACTATATTCAAACTGTAGAAAACCAAAGACAAAAAGAAAATCTTGAAAGAAGTCAGTGGTGGTGGGAGCACATCTTACCTATAGAAAACAAGGATATGAGTTACATTGCATTTCTCACTTGAAAATATGCAAGCAAGAGGAGAGTAGAATAAAATATTACATTGTTGAAAGAAAAAAAGCCAATAACCTCCAATTCTATGCTAGTGAATTTATCCTCCAAAACTGAAAGAGAAATAAAGCCTTTCTTAGACAAACAAAACTACCTACAAGAAATGTTAAAAGTTCTTCCTGGAGAAAAAAAAATTACATATATATATATATGTCAGAAACTTGGATCAATGTAAAAAAAAAGAAGAGCATCAAAGAAGGTAAAAACAAAATTTAGATTTTCAATTTTTCTTATTAGTTGATCCAATAGATAACTGTTCAAATTAATACTATTGTGTGATAATAGCGTATGGATAAGTGAAATGAAGGACAGCATTGTTATAAGGAATGAGAGGGAGAAATTGAAAATGCTTTGCTATAAGGTATGTGCGGCCAATTTGAAGTAATATATTTTTATTTGAAAGTTGACTGAACAGCCCTTGGAAATCTATAGATCTAATTGACATTTATAGAATACTCCATCCAGGGGAACCCCTCAGGTCCCCTCCCTCCTTGGGAGCTTTGTACTATTACTTTGCTATCACTCAATAAACCTTGCTTTGCTGCCCACCACTCTGTCTGCTTTTACCTGTTCATTCTTCGAAGCAGCATGACCAAGAACAGAGGGCCCTGACGGAGA